AAAGATCAGGTAGTAGCAGTCTTTGGTGTGCTTCTTTCAGGATGGTGGTGTGTCCCTGCAGTAAAACTTGTGCGGTCTGGCCTTGCAGGAACTGGAGACAAAGACATGACAGGAAGAGCATCCTTCAGCCCCCCTGTCTTACCTGGGGAAGCAAAGAAGGGCTAGCTTTTGAAGGCAGCTAGCTTTTGAGCGCAGCTAGCTTTTGAGGGCAGAGCTGCAGTAACTCTGTCAACCACTATCTTTCAATTTTAAGGTTCCTTCTGCTAGTCAAAGTTTTGGGCTTCATGAAGCAACTCTGAGCAATTGAGGAAACAGCCTTCTATCATGTTAATTTTCTCTGAGGTTGAATCACTACATTTTTACTTTTTTTTGTCAAGGAAATTGTGTTTCATTTGAGAACTTCGGGTTTCCATTGCACATCCCTGCAAACAGCTCCTCCACTAATATGTTTTTGGGCTTGTGTTTGCGCAAAGCTGAATAGAGAAAAATCTGGCTGAGACGAGGGAGCAGCCAGCATAACACCAAGACTAACTTGACATGCACACAGCTGAAGCTTCCCTGTTCCCTCCCCAACTGTAGCAAACCCCTCCACATATCCCCACTGATCTTATGCAAGGTTAGAAGGACTGGGATGAGGCTTGCTGAGGAAAACAGGCACATGCACCTGACTCAGTGGGATTTGTGTACATACTTTAAGGATCCTTAAGGCTAGCCTGGACCTGGCAAAGAGTATGGTGTAAGACGGACTCCGACACTCTTCAGGAATGGCCACCGTCATCTTTGCTTGGTTTGCGTGATGCCTAATTGCAGTGTGGTCCCACTGTACGGCAGGAGCTTCTTGGTGCCACTGCAGCTCCACTGAAGACCCTGAACAAAAAGCCATTTTCACAGTTCTCTGGCATTTTAGGAATTTTGGAGCTGTTGTTCACTGACTGTGCAGCTGGAGTGTGGGAGGAAGGCAGAACAAGACTAGTGAAATGCACAGTGGCTGTGGGAGGCCCAAGCAAGTTGTGCTAAAACAGGGGCTTGAGTGGATGATGCTGCAATCCATAAAAGACATGGAGCAAATTTGACTTAGGCTGTTCTACCAAGTCAGCACTATGACTGTTTTAGTCCAGTTAAACATCCTTGCAAGTTAGATTTGCAGTGCAGTCTGACCCAGCGTCTTGGACGAAAGCAAACCCCGAAGTTATGACTAAACCCATCCTTGCTCTGTCATAGGAGAACAGTTAATAGCAAAGAAACCAGCCTCCATTCACTTGCTGAACTTTCATTATTTATTGTTTTAATAGACAGGAATAAATATTCAACAAATAAGCTTCCTGTCCTTAAGTGATTGTGTTCTTCCGATTATAAATAAACTTAAAATCTGAATTCTTGATTCTTTTTTAGTTTAAACCAGGCTAAACCCCATGGGATTGATGTCTTCTGGTTGCATGAACTAGAAAGGATTCGTGCCCTGATTCTCATCTGGAGGATCATACAATGATGACTTGGGGTGGAGGTATTTTCCTGAAAGACTGCATCTGCAGCTTGGAGTAGCCTTTGGGCTTGGGATGTGCCTCCTTTCTCCCTCCTGTGTGCCCTCCCCTAACTACAGGTCTCTCTGGCTTCAGGTAGGGTGGAGGATGCTGTGGGAAGAGTTTTTGGGGCTCTGGAGCTGGAGGACAAAATAGGTCATTTGTAGCAGTTGATGGGGGCTTGGCACAGCCTTCCAGCACCTTCCCCTTAGGGGTGTGTTTCACACCACCTTTGCTATCTCTCCATGGGACCTTTTGGGAGAATTTATACTCCCAGAGGACTACAAAGGGATTGTAAATTCTCAGTGGAGCTTGCGGAGCTGTGGCTGCACAGGCCGAGTCCTACCATGGGGCTGTGCTTTCCTGCCTTCTGGCCAGGAAAAACGAGCAGCCCTTTGACTTAAGGGAATTTGCTGTGGGATCTGCCATGACCACGTCAGCAGCCAGGTGTTGGATGTGCAAAGCCCTGGTCCCAGGGAAACACACGCTGGAAAGGAGCAGCTGGGATGTGACTTGGCTCGCTCGCCCTGTAACCCGAAGGCTTGAGGATCCCAGGCGGAGATGAGCTTGTGGCTCCTTTGGGAGCGTTTCCACGTGATTACTGTCAGAGACAGGGATCTCTGTGTCCTGTTCCAGTTTGTGCAGCTACGCTACTCAAGTCTGAGGAAAAAAACATTATTCAGATGCTGCTTTCAGGGAGGATGGCGGAGGCCATAGAGGAAGAAGGCGGGTTTCTCCCACCCCATTGTTTGAGACTGAGTGCTGTTGCAGTGTTTTAACAGAACACAGCACCTGCGCAAAGCTCCTCTGTGTTTTCACAAACTCGGAACAGTAAGAAAGCAAGCTGCCTCTCTCTGAGCTGCAGTCTTGCTGCTTGCTGGCTACAGCAGGGTAGGGGGAAGGAGGTCCGATGCTGATCCTGGTGTTGAGCATCCCTGCTTTCCCCTGCCACCTCCGTGCTCAGCCTGGCCAGTTTTGAGGGGCTGTGCTAATTGCAGGTTGCAAACTGAAGGCAAGTGGCTTTCTAGGCCTTGGCTATAATTATCCGTGCTGTAGAGCAGCGAGTGAGGTGTTCCTTCCCTCTGCTAGCAGCCTGTTAGCGGGGGCTCCTCTCAGTGTCTTAGCAGAGCCCCCGACCCTGGCGCGGGTGATTCCTGGGCCATAGGGTGAGGCAGCGGCGTACATATGCTCGCAGCCGGGCTGTGCAGCTTAAACGGTGGGCTCGTAGGGCGATGCAGCAAGCAGAGTAAAATCCTGCAGCTTCTAGAGATAGGACCTTTGCGGTTAGCCATCTTGAGGTGGCCCGTCTTGTCTCTTCCGGTGGATGAACTGAACAGAGAGTTCGGTCCTGTATCCGCTTGATGATAAAGCTGCTGCGATTCCTGTGCGGCAGGAGGAGATCAGTGGGGGGGAGCGATGTGCAGATCAGCGGGGGGGAGCGATGTGCAAGCATGCCTGTGTTAGGGGTGCTCTGTCTTTGTGGGGAGGTGGGGCTCTGCTGTGTGCCTTAGCAAGGACGTGCACATCTGTGGAGCTGCCCTGAGTTCTGCCAGGAGCTGGATGCGCCTGTAAGAAGGTTCTGGCTCCTTTTGACTCATTTACCAGCTGGGAAAAGGCAAAGGACCTAAATCTTCTGCTAACAGGCTTCCTTTGTGCTCTCATTTTCCCAGGGCGGCCACTGACCACAATGTTGATAACACTACAGCAATTCTTAGAGAGTGGCTGAAGAACGTGCAGAACCTCTACCACGATGTGGAGTGGAGGCCGATGGAAGATCCCCAGTGAGTACTGCAGTGAGGGGCTGACTGAAGCTGTTTGGTGTATATGTCAAATTCTCTAGGTTTTCTGTTTTCAAACCAGATGATGTACTAAATCAATCCAAGCGTTAAAATGTGGATTTTTTTTTTTTGTGGGGTCTGTCCCATTAAAATTGTGTTCTTATGGAGCCCATAAAAAGGTCTCTGACTTCATGAGTGAAACAACTCATGCAGAACTTCGGAGAAGAAAGCATTTTCCATTCAGTTATTTAGCATTTGCAGCTGCTCTCTTTGCATGATAAACAAATCACATCAAAAGCTACAGGGAATAAAAACTGTCATTCTTTATTTGCAAGGAAGCAGAGAAATGATAGCCCATTCCCATACTGTCTCTGAAAGTTCTGTCCGAGACATCAAATACTCAGTAAGTTCTGAGCCAGAGAACCAGATTTAATTCAGTATATTGTGCCTTTGCATGACTTGCAGAATCATTGGTGTTAGGTTTAAAGAAATATGGTGTTAGGTTTAAAGAGAATCCTCTTTTAAGGAATGAAGGGCAACACCTATTTATACGCAGAATATCAAAGTGAAAGAATCGTGTGTGTTGGGTTTTTATTGCCTTTTTTTTTTTTTTTAAGATCAGCTGTTCCTTGTTTTCTTCTGTTTTCTATTTCTTCCATCAGAGAAAAGTACATCAGTTTCCCCTTTCTTTAGGCTTGCTTTTACTTTCAAGGTCCTCAGTGCAGTGGTGGGGCATTTGTGGTACAAACCCACAGGGAATGCTTGTTTTATTGACTTTTTTTAATCCTTTGATTGGAATTGAATTTTCTTTATCCTGTCAAACTTGGCTTTCTCAAGTTCTGTAAAAAGTTTTTAAAATTCTTAGCTCTTTCACTGGCTTATGCTGGCACTGTTTCAAAGTCCTGAATTTTTATTCCACATAGGGATCTGTCCCTGAGTTTTCTTCCATCTTTGTTGCAAAGCATTTGCTTTTGGATCAGAGACATGCGCATAACTTTGCTCACATGATCGGGCTTGTGGGGTTGGGTGTTGGGTGTTTGTAGATTTAAGAGCTGTTATCGGGATGTGTTAACAGTTACTAATAATGCCCAGACCCTGAGGGAATGCGAATTGCCTTCATCTTTACATCCTCAGCTCTGTTGATTCTACTGGGCTTAAGGAAGCTGCATTTATAGTTCTAAGCTTAAACTTTAAAGCCTAGCAGAGGAGAGATGACTTTTTAAGAGAGGGTCAGATGAGGTAAATCAGCTTCAGTTCATTTCCGTGGGGTAACCTCTGCTGACGTCAGGTGAGGGCTGCCGCTGCAGAAGCAGCTCCTGGTTCTGACGGTGCTATTTTGCTTGCGGCCGCTTGGTCGGCAGGAAATGCTGCAGCGCTGCTTGTTCTCCAGTGCCCTGTGTACACATGCCAGCACGGAACTTGGAATCGTTCTCCCTCAAAACCTCTCCTGGGTTGCCTGAGGTGACTCTTAACACTGTTTTTCTTTTGGAAAGAAGGCAGCAAGGGAACTGAGGGGTTTTTTGACTAATGTAATAGGGCCCAGACATGGGTTGCAGTCACTTTCTTTTTTCTTTGCTAGGTCTTACCCAGAAGAAATTGGGCCAAAACATTGGCCAAGCTCCCGATTCACTCATGTGATGAAACTCCGACAGGCTGCCCTGCGTGCTGCACGAGAGAAGTGGTCAGACTACATCCTGGTAAATACAAGGTTTGATTCATTAACTGTCCTCAGGCAAAAACTTTTCAGGTAGTCACTCTGATACTTGAGGCCTTCAAGAAGTTTCCTCCCCATCGAAAGACAAAGCTCTCTGCAGTGAGATGCTGTGTGTCGTTTCTTGGTCTGATGAGCAAGAGACTTTGCAGCTAGGGAGTAAGTCCCTGGGTAAGCCCAAGGCTTTCTCCACAAGGGTCAGGATTGAATATAGTCCTGGTGGTGGGTAGGTACCTGCAAGGGTCCCCCAGATTGAAACCCCACCTGTTATTGATGAAATGTAAGGGAAGTAGTTCAGCAGAACAGTTGTGGAAAGATGTGTGCCTTTGGTCACTACAGCAGCAGTTAATGGTGGTGTTCTCACAGCCTCTGGACAAGGCGAGGGCGTGAGGCTGGTTTTTAAGAGTTCTTCTTGATCCTCTTCAAAGTATAAACCTGCCCTGAATTTTCAGCAATGTTATTTTTCCTCGTGGCTGCCTTGCCCCTGTGCTGGAGTAATGTTCTGTGGAGTCAGACAGAAGCTCCGCATCTTTTCCCATCTCATAGCTTTGTCGAAGGGGCAGCCACCCCTGGGTTTACCTGTAACAGTAATGTGCCCTGTGGTATCAAAACGACCAGCTCAGCGCTTTTGGGATTTTTTGCCAACCTCATAGAATCATTAAGGTTGGAAAAGACCTTTAAGATCATCAAGTCCAATCGTTAACCCAACACTACCATACCCACTAAACCACGTCCCTAAGCGCCATATCTACACGTCTTTTAAATACCTCCAGGGATGGTGGCTCAACCACTTCCCTGGGCAGCCTGTTCCAAGGCTTGACCACTCTTTCAGTAAAGAAATTTTTCCTAATGTCCAATCTAAACCTCCCTTGGCGCAACTTGAGGCCATTTCCTCTTGTCCTATCGCTAGTTACTAGCCTCTGGCTGCCTTGTTCCCAAGAAAGCATCAGGGAAGCAAGTAATTTCATCTAATAACAAATTTCTTTTTCTCTTCTCCTCTTACTTCTCTAGTTTATTGATGCAGATAATTTACTGACCAACCCACAAACCCTGAACCTGATGATAGCAGAAAACAAGACATTGGTGGCACCAATGCTTGAGTCTCGCTCTCTCTACTCTAACTTCTGGTGTGGCATCACCCCCCAGGCAAGTGACCGCGTGAACGGTGCTGGGTGACTGTGCAAGCTATTTTTTCAAAGGCCTCCTGCCTTGTGTCTGTGAAGCAGTGGGCATCGTTTCTGTTCCATGGGCTTTCCCATCTGCTTTTGTAGTGTCTTCTTTCTGGAAAGAAGCTGCTGTAGCTCTGAGATACGCAGAGGTGATGTTGGCATGTAGTGAGGATAGTGGTGTCATGCAGTTATCTAAGCTTCCTCTTCTCTTAGCAGTGGCATCCCAAATCTTGGGTGGGTATCTTTGGGAAAGGACCATACATTTATAGGGAATCTGGGAATGAGAGTAGAGAGGACATTGCAGTCTATAAATGTTTTCAGGGTTTGTTTTCTAACCGAGCTGTAGGTATGAGCAAAGCAATACATGTCCTGCACTGGGTGTGCAGGCACATAACTGAAACTTGCTTCCTTCTCTGAGATTCCTCACTTGAAAAAGCTTCATCTGGAGGAAGCTCAGCTTGCTTAGCCGAAAGTCCTGGGAAGTGATACAGTCCCACTAACTGCATAAAAAATACTGTTATACACACAATCACACCAGAGTTTATTTGAGGTGGTTCCATGTATTTGTGTAATGGCCTTAAAATTCTTGGTACGTTATTTTAGACTAGCTTTCCTGTATAGTGACGCTAATTTTGAGAGGAATTTGCTTTTCTTTCTGCAGCTCTCCATTGTATATAGGTTATTTTTCTCACAGATGAACAGGATTTATGTAGTGGGGCAACACCCTTGGCCTTGAAGGGGCTGTGTGTACTGAAGTATGTATGTAAAGGGTACTGGTGTAAAGGACAGAAGTGCTGAGCCTAGAAATTAGAGTTTCATGTTACCTTTTCAAATCACATATGCTACAGAAAGTATAAGATGACAAAAATGTTGTGTAGTAGAAATAGCATTATTTTTAGAATCAGAATGAGGTTGAGCAATCATTTTACAAGTTGATCCCCATCACTCTGGTGTGTTGACCCTGGCTGGTAGGTAAGCCCTCACCCAGTCACTTGCTCGCTCCCACCCAGCGGGATGGGGGAGCAAATTGGAAGGGCAAGAGCAGGAAAAATAAAAACAAAACCCAAACCCAAAAGCAAACCCTCATGGGCTGAGATAAAGACAGTTTAATAAGTGAAGGGGAAAAAACCAAAAAAAAAACGAACAAGTGGTGCAAAACCAGTCACTCACCACCAGGAGACCGATGCCCAGCCATTCCCCAAGCACTGGCTGCTTTGGGAAAACTCCCCCCCCAGTGTTATTGCCGAGCATGATGTTATACGGTATGGAAAATCACTTTGGTTGGTTTGGGTCAGCTGTCCCAGCTGTGTCACCTCCCAGCCTCTCGCCCACCCCCAGCCTACTCGCTGTGGGGGCAGAGTGAGGAAGAGAGAAGGCCTTGATGCTGTGCAGGCACTGTTCAGCAGCAGCTAAAACATCGGTGTGTTATCAACACCGCTTTGGGCACCAGTCTAAAACACAGCACCGTACGGGCTGCTATGAAGAAAATTAACTGCATCCCAGCCGAACCTGGTACAATCACCTTGTCCATACAAGGATTTCAGTAAGGGAATCAAATATATAGAAGGGCAGATCTATTGTCACGGTCATTTTTTGCCCTTTTTCACTCTTTTCCTTTGAAGTGTTCTTGACTAAGCTCTAGATGGGCTTTCCAAGACATTCAAGCTGAAATAGGGACTGTAGTTAACGCTTTTTTCTCCCAGGTAAGGCTCAATAATGAGATCAGCTTTTTGACCTGTTCTCCAGTCTGCTGCTGCCATGTGTTTTGTCATCCTTTGAGGAGGCAGGATGCTAAGCTGCATGTCTCCTAGAATAGCAAGAGGTTTTTTATTCTCTTGAAAATTTTCCCTTTTTCCCCACATTGGCCCTGGAAAGCTTCAGGATTTCCTTTTTACTTCTATGCCCGAGTCTTGTGTTTCCTTCTTCATAAAGACAGGTTTGCCCTACTGCATAGACAAATGTGTTTAAGCCTGAGCTGCACATAGGTCTTTGACATGCCCCAGGGAAGCTCAATAGGAGTACTTTGGAGAGGCTCCACAGTCCTGCTTTATTCCAGAGAGCTAACCAGGTACTAATTGTTGTCATTATCGCTGGAGTGAAAGAAAAGAACAAACTCCATTCCCCCTTTCTTCTATTTACCTGGTATAAAACATTATTCTTCCTTCCCAGTGTTACTGAGGACACAGGTAGGGACCACAGTCGGGGTGAAAACATAACAAGTGTACTGGGTCGGACCAAAGGTCCATCTGATAGCAGCGGTTCCTAGCAGATGCCTAGGGAATAGTATAAGAACATGGCAAACAAGTAAGTGAATGATACTTCCCCAAAATATTTTTCTATCCTCTGGCAACCTCCTTCTCTGTGATTTCTTGAGGAAGGTCTTTGTCTTTAAATCTCTCAGTGATTTTTTTCTTTTACAGAAATCACTGTCTGAATCTTTTTTTTTTTGGCACCCACGCCATCTTATGGCAAGGAGTTCCACAGTTCAGACTAACTAATTGAATAAAAATATCAGGAAAAGGTCCTGAACTTCCCAAATTCTTGGGAAGTAAATATATAGATAAGAAAAGGGGTGTGGGGGGGTATGTTTACTTGTTTCAGTTTTTGTTTTAAAATGGAGACATAAACTTCATAGCGAAGGCGTTGTCCTTTAAGTTTTTAAGGTTAGGTCCTGAGACAGCTAGGTTTTCCACTGATGTAAATCAGCATTACTCCACAGGCTGAAGTGGATCTCTGCCTGTGTGCACCAGCCTCAGCCCTGGCCCCTAGTGCTGCCTCTCCAGCAGTAAGTTTCCATCATTACCAGCATTAGCTGAGAAAAGGGGAGGGAAAAACCTAGCAGCAAATGCATCTTGCAGAATTTGGTGAAAAAAGCTGCTCAAATGAACGGGAAAGTTCCCACTTTATTTTTTCTTTTCTCTTAGTTGCTGCTTCTTGCTTCTGTGCTCACAGTCCCACAGCTTCATGCTCTCAGCCTTGCTCTCCCTGGGGACTTGGGGAGGGAGTAACAGCTGAAGCACGCCCTGAAACACAGCCTCTGGCACTGAGCAACAGCAAGCCAAACCCGGCTCCAGACAGCTTGACATTTACTTGTCATGAAGCTAGCCTTAGAAGAGCATGGCAACAGTACTGACAAGTTGGAGTCTTTCTTGACTACAGATGACTTATGAGCAGTGAAAAGCCCCAAACCTCCATAGTCAGTGACTGGAGTAGGAAAGATTAGTTTCCAGCATCTTTCACCTGTGGGCATTCTCGGATGTCTGTAAAAGGTTGAATGTCTTAACCCTTCCTTCAGTGGGAATGCTAGTAAGGTCTCTATCTGCTCGCTCCTTTTCATGAAAATCAGGCCGGTTGTATTTGAGATACCTTCTGACCATACTGTGAGGACTAGATATCTGAAGGGCAGAGGTGGGGGGATCGAGAGATACATAAACAGACAAATGCACCACACCATGCTGCTACACAAAACCAGGGTAAAGTGGTTCTGCAGTGATCTGCTCAGTCTTTGCTAGGATGCTCATGGAAAATATAACGTAAAAGTAACTTTAACTTATTTTAGTGACTCATCATTTCTGTAAAGACCAGAATCTGCTCTGGATTCAACCGTCAGCCGTGTCCGGATGTCTAATTGGTGCATTAGAATTTTCTTTCTGGAGGAATTCAGTGTATTTATTTCCAAATCTGATAGCTTTAGACATACTGCACCTGCAAAACCAGCTGTGAGCCGCACAACGTGAGTGTTGCACCCACAGTGCTGGAAGGCTAGCAAAGCTCGTGGTTACAGAGAAATGAGCTGACTGAAGTGCCTCCCCCAAACAGACTCTGTGGGGAGAGCTCAGGAGTGAGTGTTAAACCTGCTTGCCCTGGGATGGAGGAAGCAGGGATCCTTACACAGCTGATGGAGACTGAGATGTTGCCTTCGCTGCAGTGAAGCAAATGATTTTTTTTAAAGTCATGGTCAGAAATAATTTGCAGGTCCTATTCTGTGAGACGCTGAATGTCCTTTGTGCCTGTTGAACATGGAGGATGCCACGGATGCTCAGCAGCTTCCAGGGTCAGACCTGAGAGTCTATGTGCAAAAAAAGGTTTCTGGAGAGCCAGGGGAAAAAAGTCTGAGGTTTGAAGCTCTATTGCAGTGGAAAGGCTTGGATTTCCAATAGCTGCTAAAAAGGAAAGAGAAGGTCAAGCTTTAACTTTGGGGATGGAGATTGTTTCTAAATACTTGACTGAGCCCTTTCCAAAGGGGAGACACTTCAAAATCTGAGAATTGGGCACTGATCCATCTCTGCTGGGGAGGGTTAAGGGTGTGAGCTTTTGCTAGGAAGCATCTATGAAACAGAAATCTCTTGTAAGAAGCAGCCCCCTCCTTGTGTTTGCAGGGCTATTACAAAAGGACCCTGGATTATCCCCTGATTCGGGAATGGAAGAGGACAGGCTGTTTTGCTGTCCCGATGATTCATTCCACGTTCCTCATTGACTTGAGGAAAGAGGCCTCCACCAAGCTGATGTTCTACCCACCCCACCAGGACTACACCTGGAGCTTCGATGATATCATGGTCTTTGCCTTCTCCAGTCGCCAAGCAGGTATGTCTGGAGCCTTTGCTGGGGAGGATTCACTAGTAGAGACATGCAGATCTCTACTTTGAGTTCACAGGCCAAAAGTCCTGTGTTGGCTTCGGTGGTGAGTTCGGACCCTGTTCCCTTTCCTCTTTTGGATCTGGTCAGGGATAACCAGCAGCAAGTGACTGGCAGTGCAGTTTTGAATCACAGCTAGCTTCAAAGGACACGGGAGCCGTTCTTGGGACGGGGGCAGTGTTTCAGAGACAAAACGTGTGGCATCCACCCTTGTTTTGTGTCACAGCAAGACACCGGTGAATGCTGTGAGAGTGGAAGGCATTCTGAAGTCTGCAGGTAAGGTATCTAAAGTCACCACTACACGGAGACTCCATGAAGAAGGGGACGAGGGCAAGACACTCTTTTTAGATGTAGCAGCCCTCGTGGAAAACAAAAACCAAGCTGCTTACCCACAGTGCTGATGAGGCTTTGCTTCAGGGCAGCTCGGCAGGAATTCTCTGAGAGGTAGGAGGGTTTCGTTTTGTGGGGGTTTTTTTGCAAGCAAAATCAGTGCAACTTTCAGGGGAATGATGTGGAGTCTGTGGGCTGTGCTGAGAGGAAATCTCTTGCAGGCAAGAGCAGGTTAGAGCTGGTGTGTGAGCAGTAAAATCTCTGCATACTTGAGATTGTATCATTGGTACTTTGGGAGAACCAGTCGAGCAGTGCCTTGAGGTCCTTGGGACACAGCAGAGAGAAACTGTGTACTACTGGGATCAGTTTCTACTGGACAGTGGGAGGATTTCAGTTAGACCTGAAATACAGGAGTCTTTTCAGGCCAAGTCAGCACCTCAGTGTCCTCTTCCTTTGCCTGGAACGGCTGTTGGTGTTTGCAGAGACCTCCGTGTGTCTCGGAGAAATCACTGTCTCTTAAGCGCATGATACTGCTGCTACTGCTGCTTGTACTTACGGTGAGGATTTTTAGTCACATTTATTTTCGGAGAGTGGATCTGGTGGGTATTCTGTCTCCAGCAAAGTCCTGGCAGACCTGTATGTAGCAGTGTCAGAGCTGAAAGAAGCTCCTGGAAAGGGTACATTTTTAATGGCCATCTGTATTGTTCTTTGCCCTGCTGTGTTCAAAAGGGGAAAGTTTGGGGCCTTATAAAGAAAAATGGGACTGATGAAACCTCAGCAGCACCAATGAAATGCACTTCTGTTCAGAGCTTCACGACTGGTTTTGCTGGCTTACTGAGGTGAATTAGTAAGGAAAAGTTGTTTGTGGGTTCTGAGTGATGTGCACCTGGTGTTATCTGTCCTCTGGTTGTAAAAGAGGCAAAGTTGAGGTGAGAAGGAAGGGCTGTTCTTCGCGGACAGGCAAGCAGAGAGAAAGTGAAGTGAAGAAGTATGGCTTGTTGTTACTGGTAGTCGCTTCTGCAGAAGAGACAGGCTGAGAAGACTGCCTTTCCCACCGTTTCCAGACCAGCACAGCAGCCAGCAGCTGTTTGTAACTTTCCTTTTAGTGATGCTTCTGGTTTTAAGTTCTTGACAGCACTGAAAAAGATGGTGTTGCCTTGGCAGACTAAGCAGGGCTTTTTAAAATTCAGCTACAAGAGGATGAGGGGCATCTAATGAGAAAGGTGAATGATAGAGGAGGGCAGCAAGAGCTGAAATAAGAACCCTTGGGAGGCAGAGGCGAGATGGGAACTTGCAGGCCACCTTTGGGGCCTCGACTTTCAGGGTCAGGACATCGGTATATTGGCTCCAGAGGAGAATTGAGATTTAAGTCCAGATAGCAAAGTGGGCTCCTTCAAATCTACCTGCCCCACTTTTTCCCTCTGACAGCTCTCCCAGAAATGCAGCATCCAAAGAGTGTGGTAACTGCATTGCGTTAGCTCCAGCTGCTTAAGAAATATTTCAGGGATTCAAATCCATCATTTTTTCCTTCCATCCTAGAACACTTTAGCTTTTCCCAGGACTGACCCATGACATGAAAGGCTTTGCTTCAGCAAAGCCCATTGATCTTCTCAGATTGTTGGCTTGTGTCCTGGGCTGAGTTTTGTCACCCAGGATAAAAGGATGACAACCAAGTTCAGAAATGTGAAAAATGTATGGACTTCGAGGTAAATTTCTTTTAGGAGTAATTTCACTTACTTCCCTGAAGCCCTAAATGATGTTGGCTTTTGTCCAGGCCAAGTACTGCACTTAACGCCTCAGATCAAACCATCTGTTTTCAACAGTGAATCTACTGCTCGAAGCCACTGTCCGTGATGCTTCAAAGAGACCATCCCACTTCTGCTGAGAGGACGTGGCCTGTGGTGGGAGTGCTGACTCAGAACAGAACTCGGTGCGGGTGTTTTATTGACAAAGGTGGACTCTGTAGAGCCCCTTGCACTCACGAGGCAGCACTTAGCCAGCGAGATCTCCTGAGCTTCCTTTCAGCTGAGGCTCTGAAGACCTAGAGCCAGCCAGCAGGAAGGTCTGGTCACAGGGGTGTGGGGGAAATTCAGGTTGCCGAAGTTCGGCTGTGGATTTAGGGCATGGCTGTGAATCTGGTCACTGCCTTACAAAGGCTGATGGTAATACAAGTATCTATAGCTTTTCTGTCCCTTGTAGCAATTGTTTATTTTATTATAAAAACAGAGCTGGAGAGTGAGTCCCCCTCCCCATTTTAAAGTAGCTTTGCCGTTTTAAAGTAGCTTTTATCCCAGAAGGAACAGAAATGCTGGTGTGAATCTGTGCAGATTAACTGTGTTTAAGCCAGCGGAAGATAAGAACGGAGATCAGTGAGCCAGATAAGATTAGTTGATTAGATCAGTGCCAAATCCATTAATGTCAGCAGGTAGTATTTTTTATTCTGCCATTTACCTAAATTGCAGCTGACAGCTGAATGTGTTTTGGCAAGTAGCGTAGCCAGCAATTTACTTGCAGAACTTAAAATGGTAGAAACATCGGGGTCATAAATGCAGGCAGGTCTGCTCTGCTAAAAATACCAGGGATTAGGAGGACTAATACATGAAAGCATCAACACACCAGGTAGTGTCTGCTTTTCGTTGATTTCCTAGAGGGAAGGGGGTGGTTGTGCTTGTTTCATTTAAAAAAATAAATTAAAAAAAAAAGCCATGGGGGTGGGCAGAACAGCTTGTGGGTTTGCATTTTACTTTAAATCTGCTTGGCCGGTTGTATGGGTTCTCGCAGCTTTCAGATTGTGGTTAATTAATAAAGGATCTTACCAGAGCTCAGTGAAAAAGAACGGAAATATTTTCCCTTGGCTTCTCTGGATGTAGCTTTTGAGTGTGTTGCCACATCAGGCCCAGTGCTGCTGCAGTTATAGCCGATAATGAGCAAATGCTTGGTCAGTCCAGAGGGAACAGTGTTTTGCTGATCGCACGTTGCTGGGACATTCCCAGTGAACAAGCTCAGCAGTGGGTGAGTCTCTCCCTTGCAAAGGCATCTGCTCCGAGGAGAGGCTTTGCATCTTCTCTTTGTTTTGCACCTTCAGATTTGGCTCCTTGAACAAGCAGTTGCAAAAGCTTTTGCGTAGAAGGGTGTTACGTTATCACCTCTTTTTGAAAGCATTTTTTCTCCTTGCTGGTGTCTCTCTCTAGGATTTTCCTCTAATCTTCAGGGCACTGTAAAAACTAGTCCTGGAGAGGAAAGGACCATGTTTGATGGTAGACTAGGTGCTTCCAAGATGGTTATCCTATATATTCCTCAAAAGTCCTTTGATTTTTTTTTTTACGTCTTTATTTTCTAGCCAAAGCAAACAGAAGCAGGAAGATGCTTGACTGCAAAACCCCGAATGAATCCCTTGCTAGGCTAGTAACACACCCTGCAGCTGTACTGATGCCTTGGGCCTTGCAGCTTCATCCCGTGTGATCCCAGGGGAGCTGAATTGCCTGGGCCGGCGTTTGGCCAACTGTGTGCTGCTGAAGCTGGGGATCAGACTTGGCTCCTCCACCCTGGAAGAGTCATTACATATTTATTGTGGTCTGACAGAGAAGCCTTGTGAAGCTCAGATAAAAGCTTCCATCGCCCCTAGCCACGCTTTGTTTGAATTTTTCCCTCTCTGAGGCTGCCTGCTCTGACAGACCTGCACCCCTCTTTGCCCAGCGTGCCAGGCAGGGGCTCCTCTCCCCGCGGAGGAGTGGGGCATCCAGCAGGACTGCTTCCCTTTCGCCTGAACCACTTCACCTCTCGCAGGTGTGTAACGAATGCAGCCTTCCTGTGTTGCAAGGGGGAGTCCTGCCCACTCGTGAGTGGAAATGCCTCCACCCTTCACCCTATGCTTTGAAACCTGTGTGTTTTCCCCCACCTTTGAGCCGCATTTTCCCCCCCTGGTTTGGAGGCTGTTGCTGAGCCCTGGGTCTGTGCAGGGAGAAAGGCCCCATGTCCCGGAATCGCTGCTGCTTCTCCTTCAGCACAGCTGCATTTGGCTCCTGCGCCAGCCCTTGCATCGCGTGAGGCTGGCTTACTCTGGGGGTGAAACCATGTTCCTGCTTTTGGCTCTGGGTCTGTGAAGGGATTGTCAGATGAGGTGCCAGGTCTGAGCAGCGCAGGTGGGTTTTTGGGGATGGGGGTTTCTGCGGTGCTCCCCAGTTATCCGCAGTAGTCCTGCTGTGTGTATCAGACACTGCTTTTGCGAAGGGCCAGTCCTGCCCTCTGCTGTAGGATCGTTTTCATAGCGTGAAGGCAAAGGCCAAAAAAGACCCTTTCTGTGGTGTAAGAGGGGGGTTCCCAGTCTCTCCTAGGAGAAAACTGATTGCAGTTAAAGATACCTGCTGTTAGGGAGAAAGTAGAAGTTGGTTTCAAAGGAGAGGACAGTTGCTGCCAACCAAATAAAACAGAAAATAGCACTGTGATGTTTTTGAATTGTTTGCAGAACTTCTTGGGGCTGAGGTCCTGGCATAAGTTTGGTTGTGGCTACGTAGCAACAGAGCAACGAAATCCACTGGTAAAAGACCTGATTCTAATTTCTGTTTTTCTGCGATCCCCAGGAATACAGATGTTCATCTGCAATCGTGAACACTATGGTTTCCTTCCCATGCCCCTGAAATCGCACCAGACGCTGCAAGAAGAAACCGAGAACTTTGTGCACACCCTGATCGAGGCTATGAGTAAGTTGCTGTGCCCTGCCATGATGGACCCCCCCAGGTTAATGTTTGTAGAGCTCTCCTGCTAGCGGCCCAGCTCTCTTCCCCTTGGGAGTCTGCATCCTGATCTGACTGCTCTCATACTGTTTTGATATGCAGTTTTCCATTTTCCACTGCTTTTCTACCTAGGGATGTAATCACTTCACGGTCAGGTCAACGCCATTCACACATATTAAATGCAAAAATGCATCTTTAATGGGGAAAGGATGGTGCAGAACCTCATTTTTGTCATGAGGTCTGTCTGGCACATAGCTGCTGGCTTCTGCTTTGCAACATGGATGCTTTCTGCTACACCCACTCCTGCGCTGACTTCATATGCCAGCTCCCTGGGGCTTTTTAGGCCCAGAGATGAAAACACATACAGATACGTTATATCAGTGCCGCTTGTACATGAGGGTGATGCTTGGGATCTCTTCTCTCTTTCAGTCGATCGTCCTCCCATTGAACCCTCTCAGTATGTCTCTGTTCCTCCGAAGAACCCTGACAAGATGGGATTTGATGAAGTAAGGAACCTATTTTGCTGCCATTGTCTTGTCTTGTCTTGCTCTTTATCATTTAGAGGACCTGGGTTCTCCCTGTAGTTTAGCTTCCAGCCATTTCCCTTGGAGTATATTATCTTTTCACATGGTTAGCTCTTTCCCAATCACTCATCTTTTGCACTTAAACTTTTCGCAAGGAGAAAATAGCTATCCGTATTTGGGGATAACTTCAGGGAAGCAGAAGGGAAAGGGCTCAGGGAGCATTCTTTCCCTCTGGCATTTGCTGTGGGGAAACAAGGCCAGTCAGGTCTGCGGGCACATAGTACCTGCTACAAGACCCCTGATTAGAAGTGCAGGTTTGTGTGCAAGGGCAGTGCCCAGCAAATCTTTGGGCTTCCTGTCTGGATGGTATGGATGTTTTAATCCAGCCAGGAGGATATGGCAGAAGTGAGGCTGAAAAACCTCGGGAGGTTATTTAACTCCCCAGTTCTTGTGCTGTTTCCCCTAGAGCTGACTCTGCAGAGCAGCTTGGCAGTCCTTCCATTCTGCGACAAAACCTGGTCTTTTGGGAAGCCTCTCCTGCTTTCCGGTGACAGAAGGGAACAATTTCTCTCACCTGAGAGAGACACTGGGGAGCCCGGAGCAGCTGGGGGAGCCAGGCTCACAGCTGGGCTCTAGCCCAAGCTGGGCATGTCCAGAAGTGATGAAAATCATGCGTGCTGTCTCTGTACTGTGGCAGCTCTCCCCCCGCCCTGCTTGGTCACCGCATTTTTCTGCTATGGCCTTAAGTTAAAGTAAACTAGAAAGATGGTTGCTGACACTGGTAGTGCCCCACGACCCCACAGAATTTCCTCTCCCGACTCTGCCTCACGTTGCGGAGAGAGCAACCATCGAGGGGAGAAGGCTGGAGAGGGATCTGCTGTGCTTTAGTTAACCAGTGTCCGCGTTATTCACGGAGCCAGCAACCCCTGTGTATACAGCTGCCAGGGTGGCAGCAGCACCATGACCGAGGGAGTTGTGGTGATCAGGGGAGCCTTTGTTTTCTCGGTGTATTCTGCTGCATCTGTTTATATGACTCGTAAAGTCTGAACCTGATTTGGCTCTGTGTGTTTGAGCCTCTGTGTTTAGGACACAGCTGGTGTAGGTTTTTTCCATGTTGTCCTTTGTGGCTGCGCTTTATTTATCCAATTTATTATTTTTGCATTTGTACTGACCTGGAATTCGATCCGCTTCTTACTGGGATGAGGTTTTGCTTCACAGGCTACAAGGCTGCACTTGTACTTGTCTGCCTGGGACTGCAAAATATCCCTGACCCTCTGCAGTTTACCTGCAAATGAGGACTTCAGTCCTCTGCCCTCCACCAGAGAGTCTGTCTCCTCCAGGCTTGGACTGAGCCCTGCCCAGACATCTCTGTTCCTGGTCTTGGCTCTGTGTTAGGCTTTCTGCTCTGGCAGGGGTAACAGCGGATTTTCAGTGCCCAAAGTAATTACAAAAATCCTCTCTTTGCTGTGTCCTTGTACTTGGATGGTGGCCCCACTGATCATCCTAAATACAGGCAGTGGCAGCATTGTGGGGAAGCATGTGCATCAATGTTCCTCTGGGACTGGGGCTGGCCATTTTACTCTGTGTTTAATATAAATCAAAACAACCTATATCTTTGGAAATGATAGACTGGGCTGTAACTGGTCTCCTCTCGCCTTTATTCATCCTCGAAGAGCAACTTTCCCTGTGACATAAAACATCCATTAAAAGTAGTTGTTAGACAAAGAACGAGCCTCTAACCTTTCAACTCAAAACCAACCCCAATTTTTTGACAACTTCTAAGCAACCTGGAATAAAAACACACCTGGTATTTAAAGATCTGCTTTTCTAGTGGGGCTGCTGGAGAAGAGTGGATCAGGACTCCCTTTTCTTCCTCACTCCCAAGCCGAGAGGCTGATGTCTTTCTCTTCTACCCAGATTTTCATGATCAATCTGAAGCGTCGGAAGGACAGGCGGGATCGGATGCTGCGGACTCTCTACGAGCAGGAGATTGCAGTCAAAATAGTGGAGGCTGTGGATGGAAAGTGAGTTTCAGCTGGGGTTGCTGATGTTTGCAAAGAGTGGGTTGTGCATAACACCATCTTTGGATGCCCTGACCTCCCTTCTGGTGGGGAAGGGTGGGCTGAGGGGAGAGGTGAATACCACTTCTATTTACCTAACAGCCTGTTTGGGGCAGTTTTGCTCCTTTCTTCTTTTGCAATTAGTCAGCCTCCATGGGAGAACCAGGGCAGTGTGGTTCAGACTAAGATGAAAATCAGGTTAAAATGGTACTGATTTCTGTGAACTATAACACTTGCACACAGTTAAAAGGAGCCAGCAGTGAAAGTGTTTGAGAGCAATTATCTCCTGGGAAGATCGTCCATCCTAGTGCTACAAAGCTGTTGTGCTACAGTGTTAACCCTGACACAGCTCTTCCCAAGCTTACTCTAAGGTGTGTTAAGATTTTTTTATAATGAGAAATCAAAGCAGAAATTTTAGATCTCAGGGAGATAGGAACACACATGCCATCTAGCGGTCTTTGAGACTTGGGTACCCGTCAAGACCTCTTGGTAAAATACTCTAAGCCAAGCGCCTGACAAGTTGACGGTCCCACAAGAAGTCCTTGGCAGAGTTAAGGATATGATTTGTCAGCATGATTTAGAAATGTAAATCAATAAGTTAATTTTTCTCCGGGTTTTTGAGTGAAACAAATGCAGGAATTTCTTGAGATACAGCTTTCCTCTGAACATAAGCAGCATTTCCCATATTGCGTCTGTGTCTGACTTGAATTTTTTTTTTTTTAAATGGTGATAGATATTCTCTCTTCCTCAGAGCACTGAACACAAGTCAGCTCAAGGCTCTCAGCATCGATATGCTCCCAGGTTACCGGGACCCATACTCCTCCAGGCCACTAACCAGGGGAGAGATCGGCTGCTTCCTTAGTCACTATTACATCTGGAAGGAGGTAAGGGGTTTGTGGGTGCCTCAGGGTTCCTGCAGGAAGGTGCTGTGGGCAGGCGCAATAGGAAGGCACACAGCCAGTCCTAGGGCAGAGCATCAAATATGATGCAGGTTTCTGGAAGTGTAGGATGGAACTGTGTTCCTTGGTTTGTAGAGGATCATGCACAGGCGTTTTCTTCAACGCAGCATTCAGCTTTCTCATCTCTGCTTTCCATTTGCTAACAGCTCTGAGTGATTTTTATCAGAATATTTTCATGACTGTTTTCACAAACCATCTAGTAGCCTGCTTGAAGCAGGTTTGCTTAGGAGAAAGGCAAAAAGGTTTTGAAGGACAAATGGTGTTAAAAAAACCTTCTGTTTTTTTCCCTTGTTCTGCATCTGGACCGTAGCAAGTTCCAGTGACTCTGCTGACTGGCTTTTTTGAGTTGGCATATCATAAATGTTCTTAACAGTAGGGACCTCTGTTACCTGAGCTAAGAGGTCTTGTTTGGGTGGTAAAAGCTGTAGGTTCCATCTGTCCCTGGTCAGCTGGGGAGTGACACTTGAGAGGATCTGGGCTGTGCTGGTCAGACATGCTGCAGTTACACAGCCTGACATCAACAGGAGGGATTATTTCAAGTAAGGTGTGGTGGAGGCAGGGAGAAAGACTTGGTACTAAAAGAAGACTGGGCAATGGCAGTGGTTACCCAAATACAGCCAGCCCTCTGCCTTCAGAGGTGTTACTTGCGGCACCGCTCAGCAGGGCAGGGCATTGATCCAAACAGCCCAGAGCCAGCAGGAGTGACTTCAGTGCTGAGAAGCCAGGCTGTGCTTTTGGGCTTGAGACTTCTAAATCATAGAATAGTTTGGGTTGGAAG